TTCAAGTCATGACACTTGACAGCTATGGTTGCTATCGTAAAGCGATGGCGTGACCGCAGCTTCCGCGGGTTAGGGCGATGTTGTGTTTCTTAACTCGATTGCGAACCTAGATGTCGTAATAATTTCGGGTTCGTCGATGAAGACTGCAACTAGGACTATACGACAAGTGTTTGTAACTGTCCTAGGATTTTTGCCTTGGGAAGACTATGGGTCATCCGTCTCAGATAACTGTCCTGGGATTTTTGCCTTGGGAAGACTATGGGTCATCCGTCTCAGATAACTGTCCTGGGATTTTTGCCTTGGGAAGACGATGGGTCATCCGTCTCAGATAACTGTCCTGGATTTTTGCCTTGGGAAGACTATGGGTCATCCGTCTCAGATAACTGTCCTGGGATTTTTGCCTTGGGAAGACTATGGGTCATCCGTCTCAGATAACTGTCCTGGGATTTTTGCCTTGGGAAGACTATGGGTCATCCGTCTCAGATAACTGTCCTGGGATTTTTGCCTTCAAGAAGACCATGGGTCATCCGTCTCAGATAACTGTCCTGGGATTTTTGCCTTGGGAAGACTGGGTCATCCGTCTCAGATAACTGTCCTGGGATTTTTGCCTTGGGAAGACTATGGGTCATCCGTCTCAGATAACTGTCCTGGGATTTTTGCCTTGGGAAGACTATGGGTCATCCGTCTCAGATAACTGTCCTGGGATTTTTGCCTTGGGAAGACCATGGGTCATCCGTCTCAGATAACTGTCCTGGGATTTTTGCTTTGGGAAGACTATGGGTCATCCGTCTCAGATAACTGTCCTGGGATTTTTGCCTTGGGAAGACTATGGGTCATCCGTCTCAGGGTAACTGTGGGTCCTCTCAGATATCTGTCCTGGGATTTTTTGCCTTGGGAATATTTTGCCTTGGGATATGGGTCATCCGTCTCAGATAACTGTCCTGGGATTTTTGCCTTGGGAAGACTATGGGTCATCCGTCTCAGATAACTGTCCTGGGATTTTTGCCTTGGGAAGACTATGGGTCATCCGTCTCAGATATCTGTCCTGGGATTGTTGCCTTGGGAAGACTATGGGTCATCCGTCTCAGATAACTGTCCTGGCATTTTTGCCTTGGGAAGACCATGGGTCATCCGTCTCAGATAACTGTCCTGGGATTTTTGCCTTGGGAAGACTATGGGTCATCCGTCTCAGATAACTGTCCTGGGATTTTTGCCTTGGGAAGACTATGGGTCATCCGTCTCAGATAACTGTCCTGGGATTTTTGCCTTGGGAAGACTATGGGTCATCCGTCTCAGATAACTGTCCTGGGATTTTTGCCTTGGGAAGACCATGGGTCATCCGTCTCAGATAACTGTCCTGGGATTTTTGCCTTGGGAAGACTATGGGTCATCCGTCTCAGATAACTGTCCTGGGATTTTTGCCTTGGGAAGACTATGGGTCATCCGTCTCAGATAACTGTCCTGGGATTTTTGCCTTGGGAAGACTATGGGTCATCCGTCTCAGATAACTGTCCTGGGATTTTTGCCTTGGGAAGACTATGGGTCATCCGTCTCAAGGCAGCCTTCTTGATGAAGGGTTTGAGCTGGAAGGTCATCGCAAAGAAACTTGACAGCTGAGCTTGCTATCGTCAAGCGATGGCGTGACTGGCTTCTCTCGTGTTTGCCTTCTCTTTTTGACTCTGTCGCCGACTGCTCTCGAAGTTGCCTCCTGCCGAGCAGCTCGTCCAGTGCATCAGTCCTCGCAGGAAATAGGGTGCACATTTGCATCAAGGCCGATCCGGACCTCGTAGTGTTCCATGAACTCATTCCACGTGACGCTCCCCCTGTCCACTCAAACAATATCGTTCGAAGTGGCAACGTCGCGGGAGCGCCCGGGTCGCTCACAGCGGCTTCTGCAGCTGCTCGGCGAGAACGGCAACGTCCCTGAGACGGCATCAAGCCGCACTACGCGACCCTCCGGAGCGTGCCGAGCCTCAACCTGGTGCGGAAGCAAAGCTTCTCCACGACACCAGTCGACTTGGTCTGCGACAGCACCTGCACGGAACCCGCATCTCGGACCGGGCCGGCTGGCGCGCCGAGGCTCCGACGAATTTGTAGAAAATGTACGGGGCGGCATTGGGGATGTCGATCCTAAGCTGCTCCTCTCGGTCCATAGCCTGGCGGACACGATGAAGCCGGAGAGTTCGTCAGAATACGGCAGTATAGCCGCTCGGAGCGGAACCGCGAAGGCAAAACCACAGAACTTCGACAACAATAACACGCATCGGATGTTCGGCGCCTTCACCACGCTCTCGTCCGATGCCCAAGCGGGAAGCCTGCAGCGTGATATCACAGACGAAGAAAGGGCCCGCGAGGGCGAGTGCCGCACCCGACCATTCGCTTAACCATGCTCACAGCCGCCCGGTCGGCCGCGCTGAAACCAGAACTTCTCGAGCCGAAGGGTCCGCTCATGCGCGAGATTCCAAACAATATTGGTTCGTAGCGCCGAAACCGCTGCGAGGTTTGCTATGTGTCTGGGACTCGGCTCTGCTAGACATCTTTTCTGGCAAAAGTGCGCGCAGGAGGTGCGCTGCTGCGAGCTGCTCGTGCTGGGTGAAGCTGTGTGAGTTATCATACATGTGTGCCGCCTCCGTGCTGCTGTGTGTGCGTCCGTGCTGCTTCATGCTCCTGGTGTGCATCTGTGCTGTCCTCACTAAAGCCGCTCTCACTCATCGGGGTCACGGCGCACTACTCTGAATGCTCATTCGTGTAGAACGGAAACCTGCAACTCACACGGCATGTGAAAGACTGTCGAGAACATCATGAATCAGCCAAGTTGCCACGCGTCTCCGTCTTGTGGCGGAAGGCCAGGTAGCCTTCTGGTTGGTACGCAGCCAACTCCTGCAATCCAGAACACACGGATAGAAATAAAACTCATGAACAGAGCCGTCCTCCTGTGTTGAGATATGCAACACTCCGCTGCGATCAAGTAAAGGCCGACCACGATACAAGATCAGCCCTGGCAAGCGCAACGAGTCATCACGTGCACGTCGCACCAAACAACGACCAACGCGCCTCGGATCAACAAGTCTTGTGGGTTAGCGAAGACCGCTTGATGGCCGCCTTTCTGTCGTGCTTTGATTGGTTGAACAATGCCATCGCCTGGCGGGCGACGACCGAAGCCTGTACAACCCACGACCCCCGGCAGCATGATCCCGATTTATGCACCTCTTCGGCATGGTTGAAGAAGGAATACCGCTTGACAAAAGGGAGGATATCCCACAGAAGGCGGGGAGCACAACCTGACCAATGCAAAGATGCCGAGATCAAAGCAGCAAGCTGTGGCATGGTACGTCTAATATTATCTCATGCGCCCATCATGCCTCGTAGGCGTAGCATACCACATCGCGGTCGAGAGTTCAGACGTGACGTAGATACCGGGCTGCCAAAACTCGTGTCGCTTTGGAACCTTCAACAACAATGTCGATCTGATATCTGCGAGGGAAAAACAAGATTGCATGCGAAAGAAACTAAGTGACGCACACGGGAGGGCATCAATCCATGCTGCAAAATACTCATGACGCAGTGGAGGGGACAGCCGTGGTAGTATAACGGCACGCCTGCCATGGGCGGCGATACGGCGACCGGAGTCTATGGTCGTATCATAAAATGACTTTGCTACGGAGCCGTGCCTGCTTCGATGTCTTCGTAGCACAAATGGTGCTCCTCATGCCCTTCAGGACGATGCCAAGAATGAACCTAACAGCCAGAAGGCAGACTCTGCAGAGTGAGCACGAATGGTACAGAGCTCACGGCCTGAGGATCAAGCGCGGGGCTCAGGGAGCTCAGTGACAAAAACATCAAAAAGGTCGGCATGGTCGAGATCCCACGGCACGGCACCAACCTGCAGAACGATCCGGAATGAAGTTGAAATTGGCGTGCTCTTCCTCTCTCCAGCCTCCCACTTGCCGGGTTTGTCAGCATGCCAACGCCAACAACGATGGCTCAACATGAGTGCTATGCCGTACGCAGCGCACCAAACGTTTGAACCAAAGACTGTCAATCAAATGTTTCCAAGGCGGAGGACATCAAGAGTCATGTGACGGCGGAGGAACTCTAAGTTCTTGAGCCGACAGGTGCGAGCTCGTCGTAGGCCGTCGGTGCATGCCTGCCCAACATATGAGTCTTGCTAGTAATGCTGCTGCGGACATAGGATGAATTCTCACCAAGTACTGCCGGGTAGGATGGGCCGCATGTCGGTGTACAAGCGGGTTGGTCCACCTCATACCTCAAATCGTAGAACGTCAAACCTTATTGTAGGCCGTATGCCAGGCTTCGGAGGGTTCGCCGGGTAGTTTGTCTCTGAAGCAAAGCACCGGAACAAGACTCGACACTGCGAAACGTCTTTTATGCGGAAGATTGCAGGCATCAGGCAGGCTGCCGAGCGGTTCATCCCGCCCACCTTGTGTCGGTAATCAACGCAGCTCTCGTTTGATATTGCGGACCAAACTCGTCTGGACACGAAGGAGACGCCGGATAAGCCCCATGCCACATCGCTTCACCCTTCCTTGAAGGTCCTCTCCGCAGCAGCGGCCCAGGCCTCGTCGAGTCGCTGTCCATGCAACCGATCGGTCTGGCCGAGGCTTCTGAGCACGCTGCCAACAGGTCAGCACGGTGTGGAGGCGGGACAAGGCGACGGCGCCTCATCGCTGCGTGCCACTCCGTGTCCTCCCTGGTGACTGTGATCTCCTGCAGGCCGTCGCAACGAACCCACATTCACGAGGCTGTCAAGGTCGAGGCTCGCACCGCGTGAGTCACCAGGTTAGTGTAGGGCACGGCGACGAGCAGGCGTTCTTTGGCCCACGTCGCGTAACGGCGAGCCTGCGCAAAGCGGGGCGGACAGTATTCCCGGCCGTTAGATCGTGGTCTCTCAAGGTTGCGTCTATAGTCTGTCTCCTAGGCTTCGTTCGTGTGGCTTCCTCTCTCAGACTCCGCTCCACAGGAGGGGGGCGAGGCCTTGCTCAGCTGTTGTCCTGACGCATTCCGTCGCCCGCCCGTGCTGCGGAGATCGGCGTCCTGCAGGCGTCCAGTCGTGTGTGATTGACTCGCAAACACGCTAACCCGACCTCCTCCAGGGTGAAGGTTGCCACCTCCGTCGGGTCCACGGCGGCTAGGACCCGTATGTCGCCGACCTTGGCCTCGCAAGACCCCCAGTCCGGTAGCGCGAAGCGCATGAATAAGCCCGAGCCTTCCCCAGCGAGAACCACAGAGCCACCAGGCACTCCGAGGTGTAGGACAGCCACGGAGATGCCTGGAAGATGGATGCGATCGATCCAGCGACTCCGCGAGTAGCTTTGCGATGCCATCGACGAGTCGAAACGATCCTGATCGGTCGGCTGGCCTGGGGATTCTCTGCGATGTGCTCGCAGACGGTGACGTCCATGTCACCTGCGCCGCAGGACGGTGCGATTCAGCTCGTCGTTCGATGCAAGTCTCGCCTTTAGCCCGGCAGCAGTCTTGCAGGCTGCGGGCGCCGCGCCAGAGCAGACCTGTAGAGTTGGGTCGCTCCAATCGCTGAGATGCGAGTCGCGAAGAATGCCGGGCCCGCACCCAGTGCCATCTCGGCATCGTGTCGACGCTCGATCAAGTCGATGCGCCGGAAGAGGCCCTCGCCCCGGATCATGCGGAAGAACTCCTGCGGCATCGTCACTATTCGCTATCATCGAGTGCATGGCAAGCTCATACGTACGGCGGTCGCGACGTGTGTTCGGCCTTCGCCGCGGCGCAGTGCGCGAGGGCACCGTGGCGCCGCTGCAACTCGGCACGTATGCAGATTAGCTCTCTCCTATCACATGTCGCTATACAGATGCAAGTCGCTTGTCCGGATGACGGTTTACCGACCGAGCCCCGGGCCTGGGCGAGGATCTCCTGCGGGCTCTGCCTGTCGTTAGCCATGGCGCAGGCGTCGGCGATGACCTCAGAATGCAAGCTGTGCGAGGGCGAAGACTAGGCTTGTCTGGACCCCGACCAGTTCGACGTAGGACATGGTGTCGCCTCGGCCGACGAGGATTCACGCCGCGTCATCACAAATAGAGATCACAGACATGTAAAAAGATGCAAACAGGCCTCGAGCTGAAGGCAATATTCTAGGTTAGAGTCCGAGTTCCAGGCTGCGAGGTCGGCCACTCGTGGGATATGAACTAGGGACTAAAGTCTCGCTGGACATCAACTGCGGATGCGCACCCAATTTCGTTCGTGACGGAAGCCGAGTTCAAGCAGATTCTTGAAGGGAGGGATCGGCACTGCGAAGCGCACCTTTTGTCGTGAAAACCATCGAGGTTGCTTCAGCGGGGAATTCCCCGCTTTCATTGTCGAATTGCTCCTCGCTCGGTAGATGACGGTCAAGCAACCTGTCTACACACCAGAGCCTGCGTCGGGTGCAGCTGCTGTGAAACCAACAAACGCGACGCACTCAAGACTGTCGAGAACATCATCAATCAGCCAAGTTGCCACGCGTCTCCGTCTTTTGGCGAAAGGTCAGATAGCCTTCTGGTTGGTACGCAGCCAACTCCTGCAATCCAACACATGGATAGACATAAAACTCGTGAACAGAGCCGTCCTCCTGTGTTGAGCGGCCTCGAGCATGCAGGTCGCTGCACTCGAATGCGCTCATTTTCTTTCATGAGGCTGGCACCGAGATCGGTCTGCGAATCATCCGCCGGCATAGGCTAGTTGACGAGCACGCCTCGGTTGCAACTCCAAACTGCAAACCATACTCAGCTGCGGCCTACTCGACAACAAGACTCCAACGATTTACTTTAGTGCCGCACGCCGTAGCTTAGATCGCGGCCGTCCCGCGATCCAATGCTCCACGTCCGTGGCCAAATCGAACAACTGCCACCAATGCTCGTTTTGGTCCTCCGATGCAGTGTAGTGCTCTCACAAACCAAGCACCGAACTCACATGTCGAGCACGCTTCCTGGACGAGCAAGAACCCGTAGGTTCGGGACATGTGGGCGTGCAACGCTTCCACGCGACCTCATGCAAGTACACGCCGACAAGATTTGGGTTTTGCTACGCCTAGGGACCCCGCCGGTCTGAAACGCCAACATCCAGTCTCGTAGTAGAGACGCCATGCGCTGAGTATATGCCTGGGTTCGCACTCGCGACGACGATTCGAATAATCATCGTCTAGCCTACCTAACTCACTCGCCCGGGCTCCGTGCGCCCGGTGTGGCTGCGGCGGCATCCATGGCCTCATCACAAAGAGAGATCACAGACATGTAGAAAGATGCAAACATTTCGGCAAACCAAGCGAGCTGCAGTAGGCACAGGACGAATGTCCAGTGGCATGGGTGCGAGTCTGAGTCGCACGCTTCAAGGAGGATCGGAAGTCGAGAGAATGGAAGCTGCGGATGCTGTTGGAGCCGACAACAACATCGTATTCCAGGTGGTTGCCCTTGACACATTGCAACGGGATCAGACTCGGCCCTGTTTAGCATCTTTTGTCACGGAAATGCTCACACGAGGTGCGCTGCTGAGAGCTGCTCGTGCTGTGGCTTTGTATTGTAGACTTTTCGTTCGAGCGGCACACTCCAACAGCTCTCCCACCGTCGAGATCCGGCACACCCAGGTTTCGGCTGCGAAGCGCGGGCAGAGGAGGTTCACCGCCAGCTTGCAGTTATATCTGCCTGCTCCTGACACGCAAACGCTTCCATCTACAAGGCAGGAGTGTCTCGAGGGCCTGGGAAGTTGGACTCGTGATAGGCGGCGTGCAGCGGCACTCTCCTGTTAGCTTATGAAAACACGTTGTAGGCGATCGAACACGTGTCTGAGCCCGCCACTCTTTCTTGGTGAGGTCCAGGACATGACGCAGCCAGTAGGTCAACAGGACCTGCATCGCCTGTGTCGTGCTCGCGCAGAGCGCACAGGAAGTCTTCTAATCCATTGTGATTCCGCCTGGTTCTGGTGCCAAGCATACAACTCGCTTTTGAGATGGCGGTAGAGCAACCGAATCGCCCTCTCACGAGCTTCCGGTCTCAGTGACGAGCTCCAGCGCATCAGGTCCGCCATGGTGCTCCTCGCCGACGGTAGCATGGCCTAGGAACGCAGCACGTTGCCTTATGCGCAGTGATAACGTGCGCGGCAGCATACCACTGGATCCGAGTTCCGAACAAGTTGCACTGGATCAGAACTGAAAAGAACTACTGCGCTTGAACCACTCAGCTGCTTCCGACATGTTGAAGCAACGACCAGCAAAGAGGATCGCCGCATGCCCCTTGTCAACATGTTGGAGGGGGTGCATCCATCGCGGCTGCCCTAGCTGAGGCCGCTCTACTTTTTTTGTAGCCGGAAGCGCTGTGGACATTATACTCGTCGCGACCTTACTCCTCCGCCGCTAGGCATGCCCCGCATCCGCAGCGACTTCCTCCGGTTCGTCGTCGACCTGAAAGTGGACATCAGCGCGTGCAGCTCTACACATCACTTCGAGGCCCTCGCATCCAGGAAGTGCTGTTGTCGAGGACGCGGAGCAATCGCTGTCGTAGGCATCCTTTGACAATCATCATTTCGCTAATGGAGCCGACGGGGGCCTTCCCCTCCTCCGAGGAAGCGCTTTCGCCGGCCTTTCGCAATCCGAGCTGGCTTGCAGTTGCTTGCCGTGGCTGCTTCTGTTTTTTTTTTCATTTTTGTCTCCCGCCTCGGTGATGTCACAGGGGTGCGGCAGAGCTACTTCCTGGGGTTGTTCCATCGATACAGTAGTTCACTGGTCAGAAACGGCGGGTCCTGGAGGTGCGCCAGCTCCTGCGCGACCCGACGTGCCTCGGCTGCTCTGCTTGCGGGCTGTCATTCGCGCGGAGATCCTGGCCTCTGCTTCGTCCCTCGTAGGACCGACGAAGCGGAAGCCGTCGGGGAGGTGGGGTTCCTCGGGGCGGTTGCGGACTCACCTCCGGCTCATTCAGTTCTGTACGGATGCGCCTCCGAGGCGACCCGGTAGTTGAACTCCTTAGAAGGAACGGCATCTTACGGATTATGCTGACAGGCACACCGGCCTCCGGGTCAAGCCAGTCGGATGCCGCCCAATCAAATTCCTCCGCCGTGAGGTAAGACACCTACGCGGGGTCGGGTGTCGTCATCGCTTACTTCGTGGGGGCACGACGCCTTGCCTCCCGGGTATCGAACCAGATGACATAGGGCATGTCTAAAATCCTAGCGCACGACGAATCAGCTAGCTGAATCGACAAGGCCTCGAGCTGAAGGCAATACTCTAGGGTAGAGTCCGAGTTCCAGACTGCGAGGTCGGCCACTCGTGGGATATGAACTACGGACTAAAGTCTCGCTGGACATCAACTGCGGATGCGCACCATGCACCTTGTCAACATGTTGGAGGGGGTGCATCCACCGCGGCTGCCCTAGCTGAGGCCGCTCTACTTTTTTTTGTAGCCGGAAGCGCTGTGGACATTGTAAGTATGCAACGCTAACGTCCACCCTGAAATTGCCGTGTCTTTGTATTGCAGTCTTTGCCAACTGCAAGAACAGTATTAGTATGTGACGCCAACGTCCACCTTGAAATCCATGTGGCTTTGCATGGTACACTTTGCAAATTCTAAGGACACTACGAGTATGTGACGCCAACGTCCACCCTGGAATTGCTGTGTCTCGGTGGACAGTATAAGTATGTAACGCCAACGTCCACCCTGAAATTGCCGTGTCATTGTATTGCACTCTCTGCCAACTGCAAGAACAGTATTAGTATGTGACGCCAACGTCCACCTTGAAATCCATGTGGCTTTGCATGGTACACTTTGCAAATTCTAAGGATAGTATGAGTATGTGACGCCAACGTCCACCCTGGAATTGCTGTGTCTCGGTGGACAGTAAAAGTATGTAACGCCAACGTCCACCCTGAAATTGCCGTGTCTTTGTATTGCAGTCTTTGCCAACCGCAAGAACAGTAATAGTATGTGACGCCAACGTCCACCTTGAAATCCATGTGTCTTTGCATGGTACATCTTGCAACTTCTAAGGACAGTATGAGTATGTGACGCCAACGTCCACCCTGGAATTGCTGTGTCTCGGTGGACAGTATAATTATGTAACGCCAACGTCCACCCTGAAATTGCCGTGTCTTTGTATTGCACTCTCTGCCAACTGCAAGAACAGTATTAATATGTGACGCCAACGTCCACCTTGAAATACATGTGGCTTTGCATGGTACACTTTGCAAATTATAAGGATAGTATGAGTATGTGACGCCAACGTCCACCCTGGAATTGCTAGGTCTCGGTGGACAGTATAAGTATGTAACGCCAACGTCCACCCTGAAATTGCCGTGTCTCTGTATTGCTGTCTTTGCCACCTGCAAGAA